CCCGGGGAACCAACCCCCTTCGTTGGAGTGGGATTGTGTATTAGGAGTGACGACGGTAAAAACAGGAGCCACCAGCAGCTCCTGCCACCGCAACAAGGCCCAGGGCCACCCAGGTGTGGACAGACACAGCAGGACAAGCAAACGCAAGGGGGAAGCAGCTTGGTAAGTTTAATGGGAACTCCAGGAGAGGGCCAGAAAGCCCTGGGCGGCCAATACAGAGGATCGCGAAGCACGAGCGACGCGTTCCGTGGCGGCAAGCGGAGGTCATGGCGCGCAGCAGGGACACGGCGTCACCTCCCTCGTGTCTGCTACGGGGACACGAGCAACACGAGGAAGAGAATCAGAGTCACTGCTGGGTGGGCCCTAACGCGGCAAAGCCACTACAGCTACTTCTACATTACTGAGGGAAGGACAATTTCTACCCCACGAGCATTTCTCTGTGACTTCTGTAAGTCTTCTAGGTGCGGACACGACAGGAAAGGTTTTATTTGTGCTCCCTTGCACAAACGAGCAGTCTTTTAAAGATGCAGATAGTGTTCCAGTAACACTGAAGACATCACGAACCGCACGGTTATTGCTGTACAAGGTGGCAAGTTGACTTACTCCTAGTGCTCGAGTGGAAGGAAACGGCACGAACGCACGACTAGAGCTACTCAGCTGAACACCAGGAGCAGAAGGAAGTTCAGTGTTTAAATGTAAATGCCAGGAGCGGCATCTACGCAGTAACATAGTATTTGCATAATTAATATGTCTACTTATTTCTGTGATACAAAAACATCAGACTGTGGCCTTCAGTCCAGGCAGCAGATTGTGACTGAGAACAAAACCATCACCTGAGCAGACACCCCTTCCTACCTGCGGCTGCAGCCCGGCCCCGTGCTCATCCGCACACGCAGCGCGGGACGCGGCGCCCGCCGCGCGCTCGGCCCTGCTCCTGTGCTCCGGGAAGAGCCAAGCGGAGCCGGCGCCTCGATGCTGGGGCAGCAGGGAAGCACAAGGTAGTTCAGAGCTAACTTCATGTCTCATCGATCCAGTTATTTCTGGGAAGCAGTATTAGTGCAGGATAGTCCTATGTGGCTACATGCTTTCTGCATTACCAACGCAAAAGCTTACAAAAATTACATCTAGAGTGATCAGTGAAGTACATTCCTCTTACCCTCTCTTCCAGGAAACAAGATATATTATATTATACTTAAGCTTATATTTTAAATATATTCTGATATATATTTAGGATCAGGATAGTTCCTGCAGGTACCTGTACTTTACATATGCATCCAATACTTGGACAAACACCGTATAGAGAAGAAACCATTTGCACTTTGCATGTGCAGTCATTCTAAGCTGCATCATACGTGCAGTTTTTAACGGTCAAATAAAGGGGAGAGATTTCAGTTTCTCTGACTCGAGGCCGCACTTGCAGTGGGCTGCACTGCTGGAGCGGGACCCAGTCTGAAAAACCAACGTGAGGGCAAATTCCAGTTGCTCCGGGCAGGGCGAGCACGGCCACGCACAGCCGCTCGCGCGGTGTTGTCCTGGATAAACGGGGCTGAGCTACAGCCTGCCCACGAGGGGACACGGCGCAAGCGGCTGCGCTCCTGTCGTGGGTCACTCTGCCCTGCCCTCCTCGACTCGGTCTAGACGACAACCACCTCTAGCCTCATATTTAGATACAGGTACCATAATGGAAGCCTCCACCTCAGGAGAGTTGAGCGACACCGTGATGCCCTCAGCGTTCCAAAGTGCATTTTAGAAGACCAAGATGTAAACAAACAAACAAAAAGATCATACAGAGAAGAGAGCAAAAGGCTAAAAAGCTAAGGGCTACCAGTGGCTGGAGGTATGCTGAGCACGCTACCGTCACAGGGTGATTAACGAGGGCCCTCCTCGGGGCGCCGCGGGAGGGCTCTGCTCTTTTAATCCTGCAGCGCCGGCAGGGCTATACTATCGACGTAGTAGTCGGGGACCAGGCGCTGCCTGTCGGGACAGCCGCTCTCCAGGTGACCCTTCACGTCCTCCAGCGTGGTGACCCCCGTGAGCGTGAGCAGCGTGGTGAGGCCGCAGCTGTTGCCCATGAGGATGTCGGTGTCCAGGCGGTCTCCCACCATGATGGTGCGCGCGGGGTCGATGTTGAACTCGCTCACCACGCAGTCGAACATGTAGCGGTTGGGCTTGCCCACGATGAACGCCTCGCGCTCCGCCGCCGTCTCCACGGCCTTCACCAGGCAGCCGGTCCCTGCACGAGGGGAGAGGGGAGGGCTCAGCGGGATGGTGGCACCCGCGCAGGGCACGGGAACGGCGTCGGGAATGTGGTGTGCAGGGATGGGGAGGCATCCCTCCGTGCTGGAAGAGGAAGGACCTTGCTAGCAGCACGCGAGGAAGGGCGTAAACCCAGCCCAAGGGTGCAGGAGCACAGGAGGAAGGGCATAAACCCAGCCCAAGGGTGCAGGAGCACAGGAGGAAGGGCATAAACCCGGCCCAAGGGTGCAGGAGCACAGGAGGAAGGGCATAAACCCAGCCCAAGGGTGCAGGAGCACAGGAGGAAGGGCATAAACCCAGGCCAAGGGTGCAGGAGCACAGGAGGAAGGGCATAAACCCAGCCCAAGGGTGCAGGAGCACAGGAGGAAGGGCATAAACCCAGCCCAAGACACAGGAGTATGCAGCAGCAGGCAAGAAAGGGCACGAATGGAACCCAAGCATGCAGGAGCACAGGAAGAAGGGCGTAAAGCCAAGGGAAGCACACAGCAGCATGCATGCAGGAGCATGCCAGGAAGGGCATAAACCCAATCCGGGCATGCGGGAGTGCACAGCCGCATGCCAGAAAGGGCATGAACGCGACCCAGGCACACAGGGAATGGAACAGACCCAAATCAAGCGCACAGAGCACACGAGGAAGGGCACAGACCC